CATTTCCCCAGGCCCCCCTGACTCTTCTCTCCTTGCAGGGCCCCAGCTGACTAAGTGCCTGGAAGCCGCAAATGCCCTGCTGGGCTGCAGCGTTGGCCCTGCCGTCTTCGGGCTCTGAGCCCCCCAGGATCTCTGTACCCAGCCCCCCATTGAGAGTCCCAAGGCCAGCAGGGGGCTCTGGGTGCAGATCCCCCTAGCCAGCTTGGGCCTAGCTTAATTGTAACCTGCTGCTGGGATCCCACTTCTGCCACCAATGTGGATTCCTGTGCCTCCCGCTGACAGAAGAGGAGCCTGATGGCTTTAACTTCTATTTTGATTTAGCATCGTTAGTGGTGTGACTCGACTGTCAGACTCAATAGACTGAAAGACCCATCTGTTACTTGCTTCAGATTTAGAGCCTCTACGTATATTGTGGGCATGTATTCGCCACAACACCAGCTTTCCCGCCAGTTTGTGCCTATTAATTACGGATCATGCTCATGCTGCTGGAATCCTGCGACTTAATGCAATTGTACCTAGCGGAGCATCTGAATTCCTCCTAACGTCACCCCCATGCTACCCTGCCCCCCGGTTCTGTAAGCCCCGCCCCTCACAGCCACCGCTTCCACCCGCGTGGTGGGGGCATCCGTGGGAGTAACGGCTCCGAACTCTCAAATTTCTCCCTGTTTTTCCAGTCGACTAAAGGGTCCCTGTAGAGCCCCTCTGAGCCAGCTGTGCCGGATAAGGGGTCCCCGTGTCACTAGTCCTCATGCTTCACCCCAGAGGTAGCCGCATTTCCGTGCCAGGCGGAAGAGCCGCTTTGCAGTTTTAAATAATCCCCAGCCAAAGCGCTACGTTAGCAGAGAGAAAGCTTCATGGGGCAGGAGAGACTTCCTGGGTTTCCTGCAGGCAGCAGTTCTTAGAAAGCCGGTTGTGGTATCTCTGCTTGTAGCCTCCTCGCCTAACTGCAGCCTACACACGCCCCTGCCACGCTGGGCTTCCTGTCACTGCAAGACACAAGGACGAGGGCAGAGTCCTGCCCTGGGGAGGGAAGAAACCCAAGTATTCTTTATTCAGCTCTGGGGAGGTCACTCTCGACCCCTCTCCCTGCCCACCAGCCTGTCTACCTCTCCCCTCGCTTAGTGTCAGCTGGGAACTTGCTGAGGGTGTAACCCCGCCCCTCAGCCAGGTCAGTAATAAAGACGGTGAACGAGACGTGCCTCCAGAAAACGGGCCGAGTTTCCTCGTGTGACCCTTCTGACTAACATCTGCTTCTTTTCTGTCTGTAAACCGATGGCGCGGCCCCGGCCAGATCCGGTGGAAATTGGCGTCAGTGTTTCGCTGTCCATCAACGTGGGCTCGCGTCGGTCAGCGGGAGAGAGGACCACGTGGCCGCTAGTGGCGCCACGGCTGATGTAGAACAGACCGGGGGGGCGGGGGCCCGTTGGTGCCAGTACTCCAAGGCGAGGAGAGTAGCCGGTTTCAACGGGATAGCAGCCCCTGCCGCCTTTCCCCCACACACAACGCCCGTGTTCCCACGGGTTCACCATGCCCCTGCCAGCCTCAGCCCCTCTCCCTGCCCATCCTGGCCCAGCAGCAAGGAGTCCCACAGGTTCCTGGGCTGAGCTCAGGGCAGTGGCTACACAGGGGCCTTGCTCCCCCGGAGCTGGGAACATTGAAGCGCTGCTGTGTCTGAGGCAACTGCCCCCCCACCCCGCAGGAGGGAGCTCCCCTGTATCCTACCCAGCCCCTAGCAGGAAGGTGCCTTGGGGGGAGCAAAGGGACAGAGTGGGGACAAGGATTGGGGGAGTGCTATGGAAGAGGGGGGCGAGCAGGCCAGGAGGAAGAGCAGCAGAGGGGAGGTACGTGCCTGGTGGGGGCGGGAAGCAGTGTTGTGCTTAAAAGAAACACCTGGGATCTTTTTCAGGGGAATAAGGCTACAGGCCACATTTACTGACCATACATAGATCAATCAGTATTTATCACGGCTGCGTCTAGACTGGCCGGATTTTCCACAAATGCTTTTAACAGACAAGCTTTCCGTTAACAGCATTCGCGGAACAGAGCGTCGAGATTGGCAGGACGCTTTTCCACAAAAGCACTTTTTGCAGAAAAGCGTCCGTGCCAATCTAGACGCGCTTTTACGCAAAAAAGCCCCGATCGCCATTTTCGCCTTCGGGGCTTTTTTGTGCAAAACATCTGAGCTGTCTACACTGGCCCACTTGCACAAAAGCTTTGCGCAAAAGGGACTTTTGCCTGAACGGGAGCAGAATAGTATTTCCGCGTCCTTGCAGTAATTCAAGCGGCCAGTGTAGACAGCTGGCAAGTTTTTCCAGAAATGCGGCTGATTTTGCAGAAAACATGCCTGTCTACAGGCAGCCCATGTGTCTGACACGTCACACTTGTGCACTCACACGCGCACACACTCACACACGCGCACACACTCACACGCTCGCACACACACGCGCACTCACACACACACATGCGCGCACACACGCGCACTCACACACACGTGCACACACTCACACGCGCACTCACTCACACACTCACACATGCGCACACACACGCGCACTCACACACACACTTGCACACACACACACGCGCGCACTCACTCACACATGCACACTCACTCGCACACACACACACATGCGCGCACTCACACACACACACTCACACATGCGCACACACACACACTCACACACACGCGCACACACACACACACACGCGCGCACTCACACACTCACACACGCGCACACACACGCGCACTCACACACACGCACGCACACACTCACCCCCACACACACACATGCGCGCACTCACACACACACACTCACACATGCACACACACACACACTCACTCACACACACGCGCACACACGCGCGCACTCACACACACACACTCACACATGCGCACACACACGCGCACTCACTCACACACACGTGCACACACTCACTCACACACACACTCACACACGCACACACTCACACACACACACACACACACACTCTCACACACTCACACGCACACACTCACACACTCACACACACACACGCACACACACACACACACTCTCACACACACACACACACACTCTCACACACACTCACACGCACACACACACTCTCACACACACACACACTCACACACACACACTCACACACACACACAACCACACTGTCTTGTTATCAAAAGTTGCTCCCCTTAACCGCACTGGCCAGGTGAGTTAGTTGGGGGAGGGGTGGAGCCGGGCTCCTGCGGATCCGGATCGATGCTCCCATGTTGACAAGACGAAACCCCGGGGTCCCTCTGCAAGACGCCTCCTATTTCCCCCTCTCCTGCAGCCAATTAGTCATCACCTGGCCTTTCCTAATGCTGCTCCAGAGAGAGTCCTTCCAAGGGCGGGCGCTTGCTGCTGGACTCCCAGGGCGTCTGTCTGTCCAGTCTTCTTCCTGAGCTCGCTGCACAGGGACTGGCTTGGCTCTGGCTCCCAGCCCCTCTCCGCCCTGGCAGCTGCTGCTGGAGGGGCCCCGCTTTCAGCCTCCATTCACACCTCGTGCATTTCAACAGGGCGATCAAGGAAAGGGGGGAGCTCAAAGGACAGGTTTTTTCTTACAAGGAAAGTGGCTCTTAGTACAAAGTTCTCGGAGAAATGATCCAGAGATTCTGCACAAACACTGAGAGATCTCGGGAAGGACAAGATCTTAATACAAAGTTATGTGAGCGTGAGAATATGACGGGGATTTCTCCACACCCGGGCCCAGGGGCACTGAGGGATTTGTGGGGGCCCTAGTGCAGAGAGGTGGGCGAAGGGCAGAGCAGTGGGGCACTGGGGGCTCTCACAGGGCTCCCCCCCACCCCCAGGCTCCCTGATGGGCGACCCAGCCGTGATGGTGACCCTGCTGCCCAAACTGCTGGAGGCGGGGCTGAGCCAGAGCACGGCCGGCGAGTTCGTCTTCCTACTGGATCGCTCCGGCAGCATGGACTGCACCATGGACGCCCGCGCCGACTCCCCCCGGCGCATCGACAGCGCCAAGGTACCGCCAGGCCTGAGGCCATGCTCGATGGGCCCACGGGGCCACCCAAGAGAGCAGCCCCAGCTGGCTGGGCTTGGGCTGACTCCGTCCGTCCATCCGTCCCCAGGAGACCCTGGTCCTGCTGCTGAAGAGTTTGCCCCTGGGCTGTTACTTCAACATCTACGGCTTTGGGTCCGAGTTCGAGTCCTTCTACCCGTGAGTCGGGGGCAGGGGCGGGTCTGTGCATTGCTGGCCGGGGGGGCGAGGGCTGTGTGGGTTGGATCAAGGGGTGTCCCTGGGGTGGGGGTTGGTGGGCAGCACCGTGTCTCTGGGCTGGGGGCGGGGCTGGGGGAGGGGCAGGGAGTCTTTAGGGCGG